TTTCAACAGGTGTAATTACAGCCAACAGCAGTTGGCTGGTTCTTTTAGGAACTGCACCCTGAACAGGCATGAGGTAAGTCACAGAAAAACCTGTTATCCAGTACTTGTTATGAAAATATGAAGCAAAGGAAATTCCAGAGAGACTCAAAGTGAGGTAAAACATAACCACGTAACAGTTCTAAAAACCAGCGGGAACCACTTATAGCTATCTGTAAAAGCTGCATTCCTATTGACCTGCATTCAGCAGCTCTCAGTTCTAAATCCCAGGGCTGTCTAGTAATCTTACAAAACACAGCTACAAACCTTCCCATGTGCAGCAACAGCCCAGCTTCTCTGGTACCCCATAATAACCTCACTGACGTTTGGATAAATCCTAGTGTTCGGAAGTCATTTTGCGGGCAGGCATTTACAAACAACGCCACGGTCGCACGACCTCCGCCACCACCTTGCTGTGATGCTACCCACCTCAGCAGGCTCCTTTGCAAGGATGCTGCCCGGGAAGCAGTGCCCTCTGATACAGCTTGCAGCTATAAATTAAAATCAATTTGTTGCGGCCGAGATTTCGACTTACCTAGTTTGGCGGCCCCCTCTGGTGGGTACTCGGGGAATTGGCCCTCGGAGGGGACGCTCACCGTCCGGCGCAGGCAGCGCCCTTTGGTGGCATCCGCCTGCGGCTCCTGGACCCCATCGATAGGCACCTGCATAAAAAGGATGCCGATAGCTGTTAATTTGCCGCTGGGCCACGCTGTTAATATGCCATCTTGATAAGAACTTAATTTTCTGCTCATCCGGTAATAACTTTCAGACACAGTTCGGCATGCCCCCGGCCTTACCACAAAATTCCGGAGGCTCACCGGGAAAGCGCTGCAGCAGTAAGGAGCATTAGTGCATGCAGACGGGTGTGCAGCCCAGAGAGAGCTGCATGCAGGTGTGCAGCAACCCGCACTCCAGAGGTATCAGGTCACAACACAGCTGACCCATCTGACTAACAAGGCAGTCCTGCCTTTCGAAACTGGTTCTCCAATGCCGGACCCATTGCCAGCCTGCCTTGTACGCTTCCACGCTGGGAGAGTCAGGCAGAAGCTGCTGATCAGATGGCTACATGTGAAACTCTGAGATTGCAAAAGCGTTTTTGCAGTCTCAGCACATATTCAGTGATCAGCTACAGCATGTCAGAGAAAAACCGACATTTGGCTGGTTGTATCGGGTGCATGGAGAAAGGGGATGCCTTCTATGATTAAGTCAAACTCATCCTAAAAGCGGGACCTCAGAAGGCTCTAGCAAAGGCTTGGGGTTCTCACTATTTCATAGTAATAAAATCCTGTACACTAACTCTCTTTAAAAGTACTGAATGTATAAAGATCTTGTTTCTCTTCTGAAATTTTGGCAGAACTTGACCCCTCAGGCTTTGCTCCCCCCTAACCTTGCCTTTAAACACCTGCCTGGATGACTACATTTTGCTAGAGAGGTGCTTATGCTGGAAAAAAAAGTGGTAAATTGTGCTACCTATCACTACAGCTGCAAGGCATTTAGACAACAGCCAAGAGCTCTGGAAGAGCCTAAGTGATACAGTCTCTTTGTCCAACAGCACGTATGTTTGGGAACAAGAAACGAGCCTGATGTACTCCTAATCCAATCCCAAAAAACCATACAAAGGGATTTGGAGGACGAGGAAGAGAACCCAACTACTTTATGAATTTATAGGCACACTTTTGTGGATCCCGATTATGTTTATGTGATCAGCATGGGTTAATTCAAGCATCGGTTACTCTGCATCTAGAAAGGCAGACAGACAAAAACTTCAGACAGCTACCTGCTCAACAGAGGTGAAATCCGGATCGCCCCAGTCCGCAGGGTATACCCTTCTAGCAGAAGGAAGACAATGCTTCCAGCAGCGGCAAAACATCCTTCACTCTACTCTTCTGAAGAACGTACACATTGTTCTGAAGAGGTTCAAAAGACAAAAGACAGCAAAGATCCTTCAAGCTAGTGAAAGGCTGGTCACCAAAGATGGAGACTGCATGGGCTAAACGTGTCTCCGGAACCAAACTAAACAGGTTCTTGGACCATGGCAACCATTGTTTCCTTGACTGAGTCACTACCAACGGGTGGGCACCTGGGGCCAGTACTGCCTTATACAGTATTTCTGGGCCCCATGCACCCCAAAGAACGGGCACAGAGGGGGGGGCAGAGGTGGGATGTGATGGTTGATTAACTAGTCCAGATAGTGCTTCCATGTCTCAACAAGAGGACACCCCAATCAGAGAATTGGGAATTCCCTGAGCCCGCTGGCTGGTCCGAGTCACTCGTCTGAGGAAGCCATGCCCTGCTTCCTGCTGGCCCGCCTGATAATCATGGTTATGGCCATGGTTTTGTAGGTCTTTGCATGCTCAAATCTTAAGTTTAGCTCAGTATTGGTGAATTACTGGATTTGCTGTCGTTTCAACCTGGATAATTGTGCTACTGACTCACTGCATTTCTTGTTGTAACAACGCAGATAACTGTACTCCTGATCTGTATTTGTTACTGCAATGTTATTTAGAGATAAGTTGTTCATCCCTAAAGCTGTTGGTCTGGTGTCTGTTACCATATCTGGAACCTGTAACTTGGTGTGGCCACCTTAAGCCCTTATATTCAACAGTTGGAAGAAACCCTGGGGATGAGGGAGAGATGCAGCATCCAGGGGTTGGAGGCAGGCACAATCCCTCAGTGCCCAAAACATTTCAGCACGCTTTTGATGAGGACATTGGCTTCAACAGTACAACTACGATACACGCAATATGGCAACTTATTTTCATATAGCTACGTAAAAGACAGCTCGCAGCTAAAGGAATAGCAGCCCCTGTCATATTTCCTGTGCTGCTTATCCTTTCACATCTTCAATCATCTCTGGAAACCGAGTATTAATAGCAAACAAAAAGATATTATTCATTTGTACTGAAGGTTGTAAAAGATGTACAAGATACTGTACTATTTTAGAAACAGGCTGCACTACAATGGCTCTCACAAACTAGTTCTGGCATTTCCTGACTTTTAAGCACTTAGCATTCTCTTAAGGTCATTTTTTAATGCTATTTATTACTACGCTAGTCTATTTGTCTCCTTCAAACAGTGCTCATTTTTCAAAACAAGTTCCCCAAATCCCTAGTGGTTATTCTGTTAAGGCTACTTTCTTTGCGGGTAGATTTTTACAGCAGCTCCTTTGTCAAACAATCTCCGTGCGAGAGCACATTAGGAAGTTGAAGCAGAGACTAATTTTGTTAGTTTATGCCACATTCATTCAATCAAGATCACATATTAGATTTTCAGTTTTCATCTGGAGGCTCCATTTAGTTGTATTTCCTTCTAAACGCTCTTCTGCTCCGCCACCTCTTCTGCCTCTCCTGATTTCCTTCAGGGCATTTTTTGGTGGGATGATGCAAGCCGTATTGCCAGAACGGCTATTACCAGTCATACCACACACCTGCTTCAGCACACCTTAAAAGCATCAAGCTACCACCCTGTTCTCCTCCTTCCTCAGTGAACTTGTTGCACCTACACCTAACTGCTAGCTCTATACCAAAACAGCTCCTGCGGGGTAGATTTCTCCACTATTAGATTTTTTTTTTAACTGAGAAATGAATATAGTCCCTTTTCTTTCAAGTATACTTCTTCAGTACCTGTGTGCGCTTTTGGACAGGGGATGACAGAAACATTCTTCTAATGCACTGACACAAAAAAAGCACTACTACCACCCTGACAACAGCGTATATAAGAACAGTGACGATAGCCAAGGGGACGCTATGGATGTACTGACTTGCTGCCGAGGGTGAGGAGGAGAATGGTGATTGAGGCCACGCTGTCCTTTGTGTCCTTGGGAAAAGCAAACAGGCTGCAGTACACCGGAGTCGGTGTCAAAAGCAAATCTACTTCTGCATACCAGAGATAGGATTTATCTTCAAAGAGGAACTGAGCCATTAACAGGAAGACTGTCTGAGAGCTCAGGTCCTAATTCTGGGTCACTTAGCCTTTTGTACTTAACATTTGCCCAGACTAGGAAAACATGGTTAGGCTGCACACTAAAAGAGGTTCATCGGTGTAGCTACGTTTATCTAGTCCACACCACCAAAAGACTGCATTTGTTAGTGTTTTTATAGTGGCTTGAGAAAAACCTGACACTGTTTATTTCACTCAGTAATTCTATCAACTCTATAAGGAACAACATTTTAATGATACATAGCTTGATCTACACCAGAGAATATACAAACATCCCACAATTTCATGGACAAGATTAAAGTAACAAAGTAGGTAAAAAAGATCCCCCCCCTTAAGTCTGACTTAAAAGTGCTGTGTTATTTTAAGTATCCCTCCTCCAAAACCATAGTCTCAGTCTATATTGACAAAAAAGAACTAACTCCAAGACTGCTGGACCAGTATATATTGCTTAGCATAAAATCAGCCTGCTCTTAAAAATACAGCTTCATGAACATGCAAAATGAGCTTGGTCAGCAGCTCTACATCTCTTGGGGCTGGGCATGTTTCTAAATAGATATATAAACTGCTCTGTGGTGGGTCAAACGGATTGACAGAGGGGGTGGCACCGAAACAAGCAAGTGCACAGCTAAATGCCATGTAAATACCAAGCCAGACATCCACAACCTTCCCCACCCTCCTCCAGCCCCTGCCATTCCAGCAAGCAGCTCAGCAAAGGATCGAAGAGAATGACGAAGTCTTGCAAAGCCAGGACTTGAATGGCAATTTAGGCTTTCAGCTCTTTTTTTTTTTTTTTTTTTTTTTCCTTCCGGTTTTTTTTTCTTTTTTCTTTGTCCTGCTGAGACTTCACCAACCTGGGAATCATCTGACCCTGAGACGACGTGCTGAAGCTGCTGGTTCAGGGCTGGACTCTCAGCAGTGTAACTCTGGGACAAGAAGGTATGTAGGGACAGTCCAAACGCTGATAATTTTGGCAATCTTGACAATTTTGATCACAGGCCACGTTTCACTGGCAAATTTCACAATTTAACGAGGACAGGTTCAGAGCTCAGACTCTAAACTCTTGAATAGCATCACAGCTCACCTGACACTGAACATGCTTTTTAAGTATAAAAAGCCTATATTTGGAATGTTTTTTACAAACCAGGCCTTTAATGGCATTTTGGGCTTTCGCCTTTTTTTTTTTTTTTTTTTTTTGTCCATCCAGCTTTGTTATCCTGTTCTTTGTCCTGCTGAGACTTCACCAACCTGGGAATCATCTGACCCTGAGACGACGTGCTGAAGCTGCTGGTTCAGGGCTGGACTCTCAGCAGTGTAACTCTGGGACAAGAAGGTATGTAGGGACAGTCCAAACGCTGATAATTTTGGCAATCTTGACAATTTTGATCACAGGCCACGTTTCACTGGCAAATTTCACAATTTAACGAGGACAGGTTCAGAGCTCAGACTCTAAACTCTTGAATAGCATCACAGCTCACCTGACACTGAACATGCTTTTTAAGTATAAAAAGCCTATATTTGGAATTTCTAGTCGTTTGCTGATGAAGAGATTTCAGAAGAAATGGGAGTAAAAGCTTTACAAGCATTTAATGCCCTTCGAGACAAACTGAGCTTGGCTCTTTTAAAAAGAAGAAGTAGGAAAAAAAGTTTCTTCATTGCAGATCGATTTTTTGAGACTGGAAAGATTGATTCACGATAAAAACTAGAGAACTTGCAACCTCTTCTGAACTAACAGTCAGGAAGTTTGGAATCATGTCAAAAAACAGTTAAATAATTAATTTTAATTTTTACCTTCCTCAAGAAAGTTAGAAGCTGGTTAAAGTTTTGACATAAAAATCCACTTTAAAAATGCTGACAACAAACATTTCTTTGGGCTTTTGGAAAATAAGTTATTAAATTCATTCGGGAATTGAAGGAAATCTTTTCTTATGACTGGGTTCAGCTTTGACAAACTCCTATTTACAGGTAAAACATATTTGCTGTAAGATGCCACCATGACAAGTCTTTTGAGAACGGCAGAGGGCATTTCTGAAGAACTTCCTCTGGGGCCCCATGCATCTGTGTTTGCTCTTGCTGTTTTCTTTTGGAAGCATCGCTGTCGCTCCGCTACTGGTGTCAATCACAGGAGATGGAAGAGTAGGAAAAGACATCAGAGGTGTCCTGCTGCTGGCCTCTCTCACCAGCACCAATAAGTAGCAGATCTTGTCACAGTGAATGTAGGTCTGTGCTATCCTTTGCCCTTGATTAAAAACACCTCTAAATCCAAGAAGAAAGATGAGGGTTTGGGCGCAGGGAGGAAAAAGGAAGAGACTAACACAGAGAAAAGTGTTCTTCATCTTCATTTCCAGCTGAACACAAAATTAAAAGATTCTACAGGACAGCAGCCAAGTTACAAAGACTAACTAAAAGCAGCCCAAAACCAGATGCAGCCATTTGTCACACCCCCCATGAAAGTGCTATGCAATGGATTATCTATCTGAAACCGCTCCTCATAAACACTAACTCATTCCCTCCCCCTGTTCAAAAGGCACTGATTTTGCAGATGCTTTTAGTGTCCCCTCATACCTCTTACCCTATGAAACAGGTTTCACAAATGATGAAAACATCTACACCTTCCTGACAGTGGGAAACTGTCTTCCTTGTAGAAAAAAATACCTGATTTGTAAGTGAATCAATCTAGACCTGTTCTCCTTGTCTTGGAAGATGCTGCTAGATATTACCACAACATGATATGTTGTAGTAATTGCACATCTCCTGTCACTCATGACTCCTTATTTGCTAAGTCATCCCTCATGTCCCAACAGGGATTCATTTTCTTTCTACTTACTTTTTGGGCATCAATCTCTTCCCTTCATTAATAATCTCCATTCTTCAGTCTCACCTATTTTCATTTTATAAAGTTGACAAGGTGTCAAGTAATTAATATTTTTCTACACTGCACAAGGTGATACTGTCAGACTATTTTTGTCTAAGTAATTACAGATATTTTTGGATCAAGTTGTGCCTCGAAATTCTCCAATTTCCAACCTACTCTTGTGCCTGCACAGTGCAAAATCTCTCTTGCACATACTCTATGCAAACTGCCTTGGCAATAAATCCATAGAGGTGGGATGTTATAAGAAAAAGAGTTTTCTTGCTACTCTGTTTATTTCTGTACTGTTTCCTCAGTCTTAATCTGTACAATTCATCATGCTGTATTTTAACCCTATTAACTGAAAGAAACCAAACTTAGCATTATACCTGAAACAATACATCTTTCATTTACCTGTTTGCATTTTGCGTATGTTTTCCTACTTTTTGGCTTTGACATACATACTTGCATAATGATTTTACAACGTATTATAAACATCAAACATTTCTGTTCCCTTTCAATTTCACACGGGCTAAGCTTCTTGGATTTTTATTCCATGAAGTAACAAAGCAGATGCACAGAGGATAAAATGAGACGCTTCAGACTTACAGCTTTCAAATTACACCAGCCTTGCAATGATGCAAGTGCTCCCTTTCAGCTGCAAGGGCACTCTGCTGTTAATGTCTCTTCCTTCTTCCCCCACAGCCACCCCCTTACTGATGGGTATCGTTCCGTCCCTCACATCGTTTTCAAGATCCTCTTCAGCAGTCCAAAGAAATTCTGACCTACCTGCTCTATCAGCAAGTTCCACGTTCAGAGCAGGAACCTCTCCATCTTCAAGTTTCCCGTTGCCTATCTCACCTCATTTTGGGTTAACAAAAAACCTTCTCCAGCATCACCTTTCCAATAATTTTACTCTAAACGTAATCTTCAATTTTCTTCTTTAAGTAACCTCCCTCTTCCTCATTCACCTAGCCTTTTGCTTAGGCTCCCTGTACCTGTGGTCCCACCCATGGGCTTTTTTCGATTCCCCTCCTACATACTTTTCAATCATTATGCTCTTTCCCAAGCATCTCTCCCCATTGCTGCCTTAGGCCTTTGTTCACTCTTATTTCTAGATCACATTTCACAGAGCCTCTTTCAACTCTGAACAACTCGCCAAGTAAAATTTAACCGAGTCGCCTCCCCTTCCCTTCCTCATGAAAGCTACAAGGGATACTTCTATTTCAGAAAAATTAGAGGGTGGTGCAAATCCAGAGTATCAGCTCTGTGTCTCTTAATTAGCAGTTCTACTCCTATATGTTTTGTATTTCTTTAAGGGCTTGTATGTACACTGCCATGTGTACAGACTCAGAAGCTCAATTAAAACAACCTTTTATTTTCCTACAGGGTACTCATAACTCTGCAAGGAGTTCCCTTTTTCCTTTCACTTACAGTAGTCCCAAATGACTTTAAAATAAGAATGGCAAATCTGACTCCAGCTACTAGCTTCTGAAACATATCACATTATCAGCATGTGGAGTCACACCTGCACCAAAGGCATGTCTGCTTGGCCCATCTGCATGCAGCATTTCCCAAAACAAGTTATTTCTCATAGCGATAGGGCAGGCAGGCTCCTTTAAGAGCACACTGCAAAGATTTACTCTACTGCTCAACTTTTTGGGTAAGTGCTATACTTAAAACCCAGGCTCTGTATAGCCTGATATTGAATTTCTCCAGCTTCTGACAAAAAACAGAGTGTATTTAAACATAGTGTATAATGACTTAATACACCAGCGATACATCAGACTTCCCATATTTACTCCTCAGGATCTAAGCAAAAGACTCATCTTACTCCCAGCAAAATGCTTTTAAATGTATGTGGTAGGAGAAATTAAGAACCTGTAAGTGCATAATTACCACCTTCAAATAATTATTTGTGATACGAGCCAGTGTTGTTTTCAATTACATTTCTTTAATGAGATGCATCCTTCTAGCCCAGCTGTGCTGGTACAGTACAGTTTTAGGAATAATTCTCACATGCCCTTAAGTTTCTTCAGTATACACTTTAATTCCTTAGGTGACAGTCCTGTCAGACTAGAAAAAGAATTACATAGTAAACAAACATCATGATATGGGCCTTCCATTTTCCCTGCATTTGATCACCTCTCCTACACATTAGCATTGATGTTGTTCCCTTCTAATAACTCAAGTCCTTCTCTAAACCATTTCCTCCTACTCTCCCTATGCAAGGAAATCTTTCAGCCCTTGTAAATAAACCTGATCATAGCTGAAGATGAATAATATTTAGTGCTACATCAGAAACAGGTCTTATACTTTCAGCCTGTACACAGCCATACACAGAAGCTTCAAAAGAACCAAGAAAAAAACCAAAAATTCAGGTCATCTCCAAATGTAGAAAACCATGGTATTAGACTCAAATTCATGGCCATTTATAAGTAATAAAATCTACTTCAGTAATCTGAAAACATTCCTATTTCATAGCTCCTCCTGAAATATTTATTTTTAAACAGGGTAAATCTACAGCAGAATAATTAAACAAACAAACCCAAACCCAGGAGCATTATCAAATGCTTCTAAAGCTCATGTATTCATGACAGTCTGTAGACATCATTTATCACAAGAAAAAAATATATCATGGCATAGTCTAGGAGAAGGGACTTATCTGCATTTGTTTGTTTAGTGTTTCAATCAACTAAAACATGCCTATTCTTTAACCATATTGACATTACCTTCATGGCAAGGCACAATGACAAGTACTACATGCTATATATATACACACACACAGAGTAATTTTATAATTAAAGCAAAGATGGTTGCAATAGCTTTGAGTATCCATGCCAAGGGGCACCCAATCTTCCTTGCTGCATTTAGCAAGAGAGAGGGCAAACCTTTGCCTCAATCAATTTACCTTGTGACTGCAGCAAGGAAGACTGTACAGTGTGAAGGCTGCACACACCTTCTCTGTCCAGCACTCCAATACAGACACAAACCAACCCCTTTTTCCTCCACCTTTGCTGCACTTTTCCCTACCTTTATGTCTGCACTGACGCGAGGAGATAGGTTTACATAGCTGTGGCGGCTTTAACTACCATTAAAAGCAACAATAACATAGGAAGATGTAGTGGCAGACTTAAACGCAGGCTGTAAAACTCCATCAGGGAGTTCTGGATGCACACAGTTTGCTGTCACCTCTTCCATGCAGCCAGCATCCGGGCCAGCTAGATTATAACTGTGCACACCACACCAGCCATACACAGAATAAGTCAGCTCCCCTTTTCCCCCTTTTCACACATGTCACTAAACTCGTGAACAAAACAAAGGGGAGATTAAAAAAGCTGCCTTCCTGTTTTACCAATAAAGGCCAAAAGGTAAATCCTGAGTGGCCAACGTGAGCTTCTCTCACCTCTTTCTCCCTGTTGAGCAGCACCAGCTGGCTGTCCGTCAAGATGCAGTATTTCCTTTCCCATGTTGTTGTTTCAGTGTAGGGGGACTGGCCGCAGGACAGTCTGTGTGTAGGTGGTCCTTTCACATCTGCGAACAGAAAACCGCGATGCCAGAATCATTAGCATGTGTCATTAACCACCTTCTCTGCTTTTGTGGTTCTGCAGCTAGGTGCAAACCAAAACTGCAATCTGTACTCAGCAGTGCCTGTTACAGCATATTAAAAGGCAAAATGCTAATCCTGGGAAGCACCCAGGTGGAATGCTATGTAAGGTGCACTATGAATACTTATTTATCTATAGCATGACTTACAAAAATGGCAATACTCGAGATGAATATAAATGTCTTTTTGACAAAGACGGAAATATAATCCAAAGAAAAGACCAAGAGTTCTCATGCAAACTTCATCTTCCCTCCACCCCCTCCTCAAAAATGTGGTTAAATGGGTAGCACCCTGGATGTACCCTAAATCTTAATAAACTAGACTATTTGAGACTAAGGACAGAAAGACCTAGGAAGGAAGATGGGGATCAAGGAAGGCAGGCTTCAGGAAGGGAGGGAAAAATTCAAAGGAATGGGCATTTAATTGAGAAGGGCTTACTAGCGTCTCTTGGTAGGGAAGATATTTGATTAAATTGTGATAAATAGGACTCTTCCAGCATTTTCATTTAGCCACAGCCACCATAGTAACAAAAACTCAAACAAAACCCCCCAAAAAACCGCAACATCAAACCCCGCAAAACAAAACAAAATCCAACTTGTTTGGCTCCCAGTGCTGATCTGTTAAAACTTATTTTAAAATCAATTTCCCTTAAGTCTCTCAGGCCTGAGCTACGTATCACATTGGGCCTCTCACTACTAAGAAGTTTTCTCCAAGACTGGGAAAGGAAAGAACACGAATGACCACAGCAGACAGACGGACAGACTTCACTGTCAAGCAGCCAAGCCCAAAAGCAGAAAAAGCCTCTGAGCAGCAAGGTACGCCCTCAGTGCTACAAGAAGCAAGGGGTGTATGCAACAGAGCCATGGGTAGCACCATTTACACAAACTTAGAAAACAGTTTCAAGTCATCTCTTTCTGAAGTTTTGAGATTAAGTTCTGATTGCTTTGTAACATTAAGTTTCGGTTTTCTCTTGCACTCTAGTTTTATACCACTTTACTTGCATTGATCTAAAAATCAGCCATCCTCAATGTACACGCTGTAGATTCCTCAAGTCCCTGAACTACCTCTAAGGGGTCTAAAACAGACACTACAAAAATCACGATATTGTCAGGGGCTTGCTGCGTAGCAGTCCAGGACCTGCTTCAACTACGACAGGAGTCCATTAGGCCATAGGAGTGTTCAAAACCAAAGTGTTTTGTAACGTTTGCTTCCTTTTAGTACACGTACTAACTCACCCAGTGCTTGCACAGAGTTAAGCAGAGATGCTTCTTGTAGCTTCTACCCAGCTTCACCACTAGAGGCCAGCGAATCCTCAAGCACCCAGCACCTTCCCAGTGCAAGGAAGAGTCTAAGTCCCAACACAAGCATTAAAAGTTGAGTAATGAACCTCTCCGACTTCACTCCTTACAGACCCTGTGTATGCCGAATCCCACCTAATTATTAAAAAAGCTGCAACATCTTCATGCTCTTTTCCTGCATATAATAGCAACTTTGCCTCCGCATTGAAAAGAATGTGTCACCTTCTAAAGCTGGAGAATTAACTTGAAAGACGGCTCTCAGTACCTATTTCAACCTCATGTTGCATTAGGATTTTTGTAATCATTCAGAATTCTTGAAACAGGTAATCTGATACCTTTAAGCAAGAAAAAGACCAGAACTGCATGGCTCCAACTACTTTGAATAATAATAATAAAAAAAAAAAAACCAAACCAAAAACCAAAACCCAAAACCCAAAACACCAGGCACTTTTGCTCCCTTAATTTCAGATGAGAGAATTCAGGGAAGAAGCTGAAATTCAGAATCAGGCTCCACACTGTTACCTCTCCTAACAAAGCTCGGTTTCCAATAGTGACAAGTAACACTACATATCTCAAAATTACCCAAAACTCTACTTAGATGTAAGCATAATTAAGGGAAACCACCACGATCTCTGTGAAGCAAAAGTGCATTTGTGTCAACTCCTGGAGCACAACAGACCCTCTCACAAGTTACATATTTGTCCATCTTATAGACATTAACCCTTCAGGTAGATTTCTGGCACAACTTCAACTCCCATTTATCATGATGTACAACCAAAAACCTAACCAGGTGCAAAATAATACCACTGTTGCTCCTGCTTAGACCTTGGTTTCCCAAACAGCAGCACATGAACCCTACCGGCACCTAAGCAAGACAAACCTATGAGCAACGGGCTGACAGAAGGAAGACAAGCAAGGAGGATGAAGCCACGGGCCCCTCGCATGAGCGTGCAACAGAAAGGGGAAGACCAGAACTCTGGGGATCTCGTCTCTTGGGTAATGAAAGCTCATGATACATCACCGAAAGGAAAAAAGGATGAAGGCGTGCCCTGTCCTGCTCATGTGGGTGGGCTAGCAGAAAGAGAGTGCCTCCAGCTGCTATGCCGAGTGATAACCAAGTAAACTATCATTTGAAGTGCCTGTAGACTTTCTCATGTCAAAAGAAAACTGTTCTGGACTATTAGCTCCAACGCAGAATCTACAGTCACGACTCACTCAGCCCCAAAAGATTTTCGCATTATAATTTCTCCTAACTACAGGCCTTGGCAGGGTACCATCCAACCGATCCATGGGCTGCACAAAGGAATTAAAGAACAGAACGACTTCTTCCACTGCAATAACAACTCCAGGACTTAACTGAGTCATCAGGCACTGCGGGCCAGCCACGGCTCTGCTGCCAAGTGGGCCGGCTATGTCAGAACAGCTTTCCACAAGCTGCTGGCAGAGGAACATGCCATCTCGGTGTCTGGAGCTGTCAATCACCACTAGAGAACACCACAGCATTAATATTTTGTGTTTGTATTGGTATCCTTTTGAACACGTCAGGACACAGCCCCATCACCCCTGCAGGCTGACCAAGCGCTGTCTTCAACAAAGAGGAGCAGTTGCAAGCTGTTTTTCTGATGTATCAGATCCCATAACTTCAGTCCTCCCCCCAAGCCTGATGCTGCAAGCCTACCTCACAAGCTAGGTGGATGATGAATACACATCACAAGAAAACTCGCTGCAACAAAAATCCCAGCGTAGCTTTGGTGCATTTGTCCCACCTATTTGAATTATTTCTCTATAGGAGAAACTTCTCTATAGGAGCTAACCCTCCTGCGTGGTTGACCTCTTCGGAGCCTCTCACAACAGCTGTAACTTCAAAACTTATTCTGAAGTATGTTACCAGTTTAGACTGAAGACTCTTTGGGACTTTACACAGTATCACATATACAGTCGGTTGATTCACAAACCCTGTTCTGCTTTCCGGTACTCTTCATCTTCAGTTTTCATTTTACATTCTTGGCTCCAACTTTTCACGTGAATGTAATAAAACCCACCGACCTCTTCCACTAATGCCCCATAAAACTAATCTACCACCACTGTTTGAATCGCTATGGAAGTGAATGGCAAAAAGTCCATGTGTAACTAGGACCACTTACATTTTTGGGAAAGACTGAAAGTCAGAGCTGTCCTTTCTCACTTTGGGGCTACCATCTATCAGCTCATACAAGAAGGCTTGTGCTTTGGAGGGTAACTCACTGATGAATGCAATTTTGGACAGGAGTTGGAGGACAGACCAGGGAGGTCCATCTGAAAGCTCTAAGTTTGCAGATATTATGTGTGGGATGGGCTCATGCAGCCACACACCTAAATATGCAAGTTCTGGTGACAGAAGATTTCTTTCTCTGGTCTGATGCAATCCTTTCCATTCTGCATCATTACAATGAGGCATTCAAGCAAGCAGATCAGTTAGTCTACACTCAGGATTAAAGGTCATGCCTTATGTGCCTTCAAATGCTAATATCAGTTAAGTAACAGCTTGGAAAAAATCCCCTTCTTGGTACATCCTCCCCTGCTG